CCTCATTTTTGACCTTGGTGGTGGTACTTTTGATGTCTCCATCCTTACTATTGAAGATGGCATCTTTGAAGTCAAGTCCACTGCTGGAGACACTCACTTAGGTGGTGAAGACTTTGACAACCGCATGGTCAACCATTTCATTCAGGAATTCAAACGTAAACACAAAAAAGATATCAGTGAAAACAAACGTGCTGTGCGTCGTCTGAGGACAGCATGTGAACGAGCCAAGAGAACATTATCATCTTCAACACAGGTTGGTTGATGTTTAAACAATGCAATTGGATTTTTTGCTCAGACCAAACGATTTTGTTTAGTTGATTTATATTTTCATCTTTCTTTTTGTAGGCAAACATTGAAATTGACTCACTTTTTGAGGGCATTGACTTCTACACCAGCATCACCCGGGCTCGCTTCGAGGAGCTGAACGCAGATCTTTTCCGTGGCACCTTAGAACCTGTAGAGAAATCCTTAAGAGATGCAAAGCTAGACAAAGCTCAAGTTCATGAAATTGTTCTTGTAGGTGGTTCTACTCGTATCCCCAAGATCCAGAAGCTGCTCCAAGATTTCTTTAATGGCAAAGAATTGAACAAGAGCATCAACCCTGATGAAGCAGTAGCTTATGGCGCAGGTAAGACATTTAATTGGATTTTTTTTTGCTTTATTTAGCGCAAGTTTATGTAAAATGACTTAAGCTATATGCGAATGATTAAACATGTACATTCTTCTCCAGCTGTTCAGGCTGCTATTCTCCATGGTGACAAGTCAGAAGAGGTGCAGGACTTACTCTTGTTGGATGTTGCACCCCTTTCACTTGGTATTGAAACAGCTGGAGGTGTAATGACTGCACTCATCAAGAGAAATACAACCATTCCAACAAAACAAACTCAGACTTTCACTACATACTCTGACAACCAACCTGGTGTATTAATTCAGGTGAATAAATATCCATCTTTGTTAATTTAGCATGGTATAAAATCTGATTATTTCTCATGGTTATGATGAAGTTTATTCCATAACATTCGCGGTTTCCACCAGAAGAATAAGCTCTATTCTGAAGATGGCCATTTGTCCTTCCTTGGATGTCTGAACCATAAAACTTTTTTTATAAACTGTATTTTAGTAATGTTAATTACTATAGTCTAATATTTAACTTTTTTTTGTAAATAGGTATATGAAGGTGAACGTGCAATGACCAAAGACAATAATTTACTTGGAAAATTTGAGCTCACTGGCATCCCACCTGCCCCACGTGGTGTTCCCCAAATTGAGGTCACATTTGACATTGACGCCAACGGCATCTTAAATGTGTCAGCTGCTGACAAGAGCACAGGCAAAGAGAACAAGATTACTATCACTAATGACAAAGGTCGTCTATCAAAGGAAGAAATTGAAAGGATGGTGAATGATGCAGAGAAGTACAAGAATGAGGATGAGAAACAGAAGACACGCATCTCTGCCAAGAATGCCCTTGAAAGTTATGCTTTCCACATGAAATCCACGGTGGAAGATGAGAAACTCAAAGATAAAATCAGTGCTGATGATAAGAAAATCATCATTGACAAATGCAATGAGGTAAGTGTTTGACTTGAATTTAGCTAAAATTCAAGATTAATTTGCCAAGATTATTTTCTTAATAGACAGTTCTGTTTTGAAATCTCATGTATTTTAATGTAATTTCAGATCATTCATTGGTTGGATGCTAACCAACTTGCTGATGAGGAAGAGTTCCAACACAAACAAAAAGAAATTGAAGGTGTGTGCAATCCCATCATTACCAAGTTGTATCAAGGCATGGGTGGTGCTGGTGGTATGCCAGACTTCAGTGGTGCTGCAGGTGCTGGTGCTCAGCATTCAGCTGGAACTGGAGGAGGCAGTGGGCCAACTATTGAGGAAGTAGATTAAATGGTCTAGTTAGTTTCAGTAACTAATTTTCAAATAGTCTTTGTCATCACCTAGCATTTCAAATGAAAATCTGATTGACATTAATTTATACCTTAGAGACTTTTTGTTGCAACTCGTTTGTTTCAATAAATATTTTGTTGGAAAAAATTTTAAAAATTGTATCCTGTTTTATGTACGTTTCTTTATTTGTTGCTTAGTTACTTGATCAGGTTTCTAATTTGAAAATACTGAATTGATTTTGGTCATTTTAACTTTAAAAAACACTTACTTTTGTGAAAATGTTTATAGATCCCTGTAAGCTGTAGTTGTGATAGAAACTTGATGTGTAAGAACTTAGTCATTACTAAACTTTGGCAAATGTTAGGTCTGGAACTCATAAAAGAAAAATGGAAACTTCAATATTGAGAACACTTTTAAAACTTTAATCTATGCTAGCATAAATGACTAAGACTGCTTTATTGATCCTTACGGAAATTTGTGATTACAAGGACTCTTTTTCTCATAAAGACAAAACAACAGACAACATAAAGCTCATTCAGCAACTACACCCAGGTATCATGGTGCATTTCATGTTCCCTGATCGATGAGTGGCGGTGATAGTCTGACCGAACGAGTTTTTGTACCGCTCCGTTCTTGTTTTGATTGACAGCAGTCGCCCACTTCGCCATGTCTAAGATTTGTTCGATTTTTCTTAGGCACTTGTGTTCAAAAACTTAAGTAATTTTTGATGCTTTCTAGACGTCGCAAGTTTAGAAACAGTTTAGATGAGGCCTTGCCAACAAGTTATTCCGTATGTTAGCAGATTTTGTATAGTCGCGTTGTAAAATGTCTCAAGGATCTTCTTGCTTAGTTTAAAGCTATTGGGTTAGTATAGAAAAAAGTGTCGCTGGTTTTCTTTGTCCAAGGTGGTCTTCCCATGAAAGCTTGTTAACGCCTAGATATTTATATGCCTTTACTTGTTCTCTAGATGTAGTGTTTATTTGCAGTTCATAACATAGTATTTAAGTTTCCTAAAATGTAGATTTTTCAAGAATCTCATAAAAAATACAGAAAAGTGCTTTAAAATAACTTGACTAAATCTAGTATTAATTCTTAGCAGTCAATAAATAAACATCTAAGAGAATAAAACACCAATATACACAAATACTGTACACGTCCATACACTAAGAAACTAAATATCGGGTACACATAATAAAGATAAAAGTAAACTATGATGCCTTAACAAAAGCTTAAAAGGGGTATTGAACGATTTTCTTAGCTGGAAAATAAATTTAATAGGAAAAGCTTCTTTCATCTTACTCTAAATAAGTACGTATATAATTAAATTAAAATGTGAATTCTTTCACTTTCAAATGCACCCCTCTATTTAAAAGGATTATCAGACACAGGAAACTCCAGACTAGAACACATGTAAAAAACATCATAAACCACTTAGACAAACATAATGTCCTTACTTCATAGCAATATGGCTTTTGGAAATATAAATCATGTGAAACACAACTAATAGGACTAATTGGTGATTTTTCTAAAGGTTTAGATAACTGAGCAAATAGATGCTATCTTACTAGATTTTTAACAAAGTTCATCACCATAGTTTGCTTAAAAAATTAAAATATTTTGGCATTGATGGTCCATTGCATCAGTGGATTAAAGATTTTCTGCTAGGGAGAGAACAAACTGTTATAATAAATGGCTTTAAATCAACACCAATAACAGTAAACTCAGGCGTACCTCACGGAACATTCTTAGGTCCGGTACTATTTTTAATTTATAAACGATTTACCAAATAGCATTAGTTCAGGTACAACAGTCAGATTATTCGCAGACGATTGATTAATATACAAGTATAGAACGATATAAACAACACAAGATACTAAAATTCTACAACGAGAATTAGATGAATTACAGAAATGGGAATCAAATTGGAGCATGTCTTTCCACCCAGAAAACTGTTAAGGTTAACAAAAAAACTAAAATTAATTCCACTTATCTTATTCATGTAAACCAGTAACACAAGACTAATAAGGCAAAATACCTAGGTGTTATAATGAATGAAAAACTAATATTGATGAAGCTATCAAATCGAACAAAGCATTAGGGTTTATTAAAAGAAATTTCTATACATCAAATAAGAACATAAAACTAAAATGTTGTTAAACCTTGGTTAGGCCAATAATTGAATATGCATTCGCTGTTTGGGACCCCTCAATTCAAGAAAACATTAAGAAACTGGAATAGACACAAAAAAGAGCAGCGAGATCCACAAACGAATATTCACATTTGACTAAAGTAACACCTCTAGTGTAGAATCACTAAATTTAGAAAGCCAAAAGTAAAGTAGCAATTATTCATTAAACACTGAACCATAATCTTCAAATACAAAATTTAATAAAATACTCAGAAAGATAAATGTACAAATACTCCGTCTTGACTAGTGCTATTAGAGCATGGAATGGGGTTGCCTGAGCTAGCCAGGAAAACCAGTGACTTGGCAGAATTTGTCATTGGTTAACATGCATGACAAGTAGGACGTAATCTTCTTTTTTGAAGTAACGTCTGTATAAGATAAGTTCTGATAAATAAATTTTTGGCAATAATAATGAAGATTTTTCCCTACTCCTATCACCATGGATTGATAAGGAGGTGCTAGCAGGCTTTTTCAACCATCATATTAAGAACCAATGTGATCCCCGTTACTAATATAAATTGGAAGAACTGTCAGTTTCTTATGTAAGTTTGAGTGGCTTGAAAGGTCAAATTAAATATAATTAACTTGCCTGTATAAGGAATTATGTGGTCTACCACATTAAGGGCCTGTCCATTTACGGGTGATCTTAGCCGAGTAGGTTCTACATTTTCTGCTGATGACACTGTTCTGTGGGATGTCATTAATTGATCTCCACATTCAAATACCAATAATAGATATCTTGGCATTAGTTATATTTCCTCCTTTAAAATACTAAAATTTTGTCATGAAAAAGGGCTGATTTGTGGAAACTCTACAGTTCGTTATCTGGGAAATGTTAATGATAATTTAGAGTGATATCGTATCTGGTACTGGTATTTTTCAATTAATTATGAATGAAAAAAAATCCAAAGTCAGTATTTTGGTCATTTATTTACAATTTCAATGTTTTGCAGAGAGTGATTTACATTGCACAAAGTATCACAAAAGTTAATTTCTATTTTTAAAAAAAGAATAAAAGCCCACTCTGCACTGAAAGTAATAAAGATTTATAATCCCAAAGCATACCATAATAACAGTAGTAGTAATGAAGTACTGATAATTGGGTGTATAGTCAAATTAAGTTCTACTAGGTACAGCAATAGTGCACTCAAATCCTGATTTCTAAGACTTGAACTTGTTCATGTCTCTTACCTCTATATATAGGTGACTAATAAAATAAATTGGAATAAAGTTGAAATTACCTCAAGAGGCAGCTAACAGTCACAGCCACATGCAGTTTTACATTACCGATAGTCTAAACTAAGGGAATGAAATGATGAGACTTTTTGAGATGTGAGCTTAAATTTGAGGAGTCAATGAGATATATGAGCACCATTAGCTATATCCAAAGATAATAACTAACACTAGTAACTTATATCTTTTTCTACAAATAAAGCCACATTTAAAACATTTAAGCATTGTCAAAGTGACACTTTCAAAGCAATTGACTCAACTTAAAATACCTGTTTGACCATGGCATCAAATTGTCTCCAATCAAGAATTGAAAGTGTAAGTTTAAACCATAACTAGCAAAGACCTTAAAAAAAAAAACCCTATAAAACTGCATCCCCTAAAACTATTTCAATTGACAAAGTCTATCTAGTAAATGCCAGAGCCTATGCTACTGAGTGACTTTGTTCAGTATTTTGACTTGTTGCATGCGTCCTCACTTCCACTACAGATTCTTCAAACTCTAGCAGACATTAATCTCTCTTGCACACACATTGCTGTCTAAGCCTTTAGACTCTACAAAATCTGTTTTAAGTGTTGGACTAAATTCACAGTAATCCAGTCTTCATGAAATTTACCCCCCCCCCCCCTCCCCGATTTTTTAAATTTTTCACCTTTTTTTTTTTTAACAAGAATAACTACACCTGATGTCTCCCATATATTAAATTGATTAAATTTAAAAAAAAAATAATCAAAAGTAAAAAAAAACAAAAAAAAAAAACTTTACAAAACTTTTCAAAAAAAAAAAGGAAAACTCAAAATATATGTTAAGTCTTAAATTAATCACTGTCTGCTAAAAACATTCCAAATAACTTGACTTCCATTAGTAGATTTGTGAACATTGGCTCTACATTTGCTGAGTTGAGTTTCCATTCCATGTGTTTCTATCCTCATCATTCTCATCGTCTTGAGCATTTCTGAAACGTCTGACTGAACCTTCTTGTCTGGAGGAGGAAGCTGCTCTCTTCTGGGCACTGAACAATACAAGAGAATACAAAGTTGTTGTTTTTTTACGAAGAGTTCATTGCAATAGTTTTAGATACATTTATGTTGTTCATCTTTTTTTTTTTTTAAAGATTGTGGGGATTAAGGGTTAAATGAATATTTCTTCACAAATTCTAACAATTGAAAATTCAGTTTTGGTTGGACAATATTCTATCAACTAAAGTAAGCACAGTTTGGTTGGACAATATGTCTTGTTATTGCAGAGATATTTAGATATATTATGGTAAAACATTTTACAATTATTTATACAGTTTCTGGTAAGTTATTGAACCTGTCATGTGATGTATGCATCTTCAGATAAAATGTCTTTAACCCTACCGGACTAAAGTCCCTCAACCTAAGTGTCCCCTCTACTCTGGTTCCTAAGGAAGATCAAGTAGCTGTAGATTTAATATAGCTCAATTGAAATCTTTGTCAATTCTTGATGAATTCTGACTTAAAATATTGAACTTGAAGCTCGTGAAGAGCACAGACCTACCATTAAAAAGTCTGGTTCATTGTGTTCTGTGTATTGTGAACATTTCAGATATCTTTCAAGTCAAACCACACTAAGTCCAATCAAACACATGGGGATAAACATTCGCTATGGCTAAACATTTGATTTAATTATGATTAAAGTAAAGTTCCCCTTTCAGACCTTGTGATCTATATGGCAGATGATGTAAAAATCATGTTTCTATGGTTAATGCGGGTGTCATGTGGCAAGCACAATGATAAACCACCTTTGCTTTTCCCCAACTAATGTCAGGTACCCATTAGATCTGGGTGGACTCAGAGGCGCCCAAAGATCCCAGTTTTCACTGAGATTTGTTCAGAAGCCAAGCGCTTTACAGCTCAGCCACAGCGCCTAATTATGATTAGTTGGTTATCTTTAGATTTGACCTTTTTTTTTCATATACCAGTACTTAGCAAGTATTGAAAAATAAGTACATCCACCCGGAGATCACTTTGGGAACTATACAAAAATCAATACAGTCTGGTAGAGTTCAATTTTTAGTGCCGGCAAAGCTCGTTATGTTTGCTTAGATTACAAACCTTCCAGGATTTCTTTCTCCTCCCCTAGCAGAAGTTTGAACTGTTGAGCTTGTCTGTACAGCAGGCCGTGTGCTACCAAAAAGACTGGAAAATATTTTCCAAACAAAGAAGAATGGTGACAACAAGAGATTGGTGATCCCAGACACACTCAACAAACCAGAAGAACTCCGCACAACAGACGTAGATGTACTGCGCTGGAAGACAAAATATTTACTTTGTACTACTGGTACTATAATGACTTAATCAAATGACTGTACTACTGGTACTATAATGACTTAAATGACTGTACTACTGGTACTATACTTAATCAAATTACTATACTACTGGTACTATAATAACTTTATCAAATGACTGTACTACTGGTAATATTCTTCCTTAATTAAATGACTGTACTACTGGTACTATTCTAACTTAAATCACAACATTTCCATAAGGATCAATAAAGCAGTCTTAGTCTAGGATGACTGTACTACTGGTACTATATTTAACTATACCAAAAGCCATTTCCATTTGGATCCAAGGCCTCCCAGACCCCTTCTAATTGTGTCAGTTGTTTTAGTTTTTTATTAATTAATTATTTATTAATGAAAGAATGATGCCAAATCAGGTATTTGAAAAATGAATTAAATGTACTCAACAAAAACAATTTTTAACAAATCATTAAAGAAACAACTCGCAATTAGAATATGAACAATTTGAAGCAAAAAAAGTGAAGAAAAAATTAGATTAATAAATTGCTTTTTTTTTTATTGACTTCTGTATGTTCGATATTTTTAAAAATTTAAGACTTAAAAGAAAAATGTTAAATATTTGACATGCATAGAATTAATGTTTGTTAGGATTAGGGCATCAGACAAAAGTATTTTAAACCAACAAAATCAAATTTCCAAGGCATTAACTAAGATGCTATTTCTCAGGTCTTTACCGGAATAACAAGAATCACTGCAGATGGCGCCAGTTGCAGTTCCTGCAAAGTCAAATTCAGGTCTTCTGTTGTGAATGTTCGACGAGGGAAAGCCATTGACAGGTTCACCTGGGCACCAGTGTGCTGCAAGATACATTGGCTGTGTGAAATCTTAAGTGTAGTCAAATTTATTATCAATAATATCACATACAATGGATGCTAAATATGTCAATAGAACTAAGGCATAAATAAGTTATAGCTTTTATATAGCGCTACTTTCATGCTTATAGCATTCTCAGAGCGCTGTGGTCCAATCTCATTTGTGGACCAGTGGGGGTAGGGGGTATCTGGGAGAAGGTTTTTCGGTGCACAATTCTGCTTGAGTCGGGTGTCGAACCTCGAGCCCTCTTCATAGATAGCCAAGCCAAACCAAGTTCAAGCGTACTTAGCCTCTCGACCACGCTTTCCACCATATGGGATATATAGGAAAACAAAAAAAAACACACACTAAAACTGACATATGGCCCTTTCAGTTTTTAGTCTTTAGGTGGACAAAAGACTTGTTGACTAGTTAACATTCATCCATCCATCCATCCCAGTGGCGCTACAGCCCATGGAGGGCTCTGGCCTGCTTCAACACATCCTTTCATTCAGATCTCTCCTGGGCCTTTCGTCTCCACGCCCTAACCCCAAGCTGCTTCAGATCTGCTTCCACATCATCAATCCATGGCATTCGGGTCTGCCTTTGGGTCGCATGCCTTTTGGTTTTTGCCTGTATATGATTATCACTCCTCTGTTATCTGACATTCTTTCAAGGTGACCTTGCCCCCAACGTAGTCTGTTCTTTTTTATTTCCGTTCACTATTGGTGGGTCTTCATACAATGGATATAACTCATGGTTAGTGCGTGTCCTCCACCCTGTTTCATCCTGTATGGCACCATAGATTTTCCTAAGAATTTTCCTTTCCCAAGTATTAAGTAAATTTTCAGATGTCTTAGTCAGTGTCCAGGTCTGACTTGCATCTATTGCTGCTGGTCTTATAATGGTTTTGTATATTATTTTCTTGGTTTTCCTTGAAATTGTTTTGCTCTTAAGTAAATGATTGACTAGTTAACAACTCACTTAATTACAGACCTATCACTGAGGCTCAATAAATTTTTTACCTCCTAGAAATGTTTATTAATGTTGAAGTGTTGACACTTGAAAAAAAACTGCTCCTTAGATTTGTTTTGATCAGGATACGATGCAACAATCCTAATAACCTTGATTTAATTCTGCTGATAATCAATAACTAAATAGTACCAACCTAATACACTGTTAAAACAAATAAATAAAACTATTTTTAAGTCTAATAAAGTAATGTCTTTTACATGGAAACTGACTTTGCAATTAAAAATGTTTTAAATCTAGTTCAAAGATTTAGATGTTTGTATGGTATTTTCATATACTGGTATATTTTTTTATGTAGATAATTATTGTTATTATTCACATTGAACTATTTATAAAATAATCACAATTTATTTTTAAGCATTTCTTTAATTTAAAAAAAAATTGTTGTAGCAGACTTTAAACATTGTGTGTATGTTTCATTTGTATGATCTGACAATATTTTCACAAGAACTTTTTTTTTTAATGTAAAATCAAGCAAAAAAAAAAAAAAGGTAAATCTAAGTGCCCACTAAGTTATTTTTCTTACTATGGATGCATCCTAGAAACATTTTTCTAAAAAGAAATAAAAAGAAGGATATGAAAGAGAGAGTTGGTACATGCTCAGGTTATTCCTTGTAAGAGACTTTAAAACACACTGCCCAATTCCTTCCACATGCCCAAAGACTTGTTGTCATCCCAAAAGGGTGTTTCAGATTATACAAGAAGAATGGCAGCGTTTGCGTAGTATTACCTGGCTTATGAAAGCATTAACAGCAGCAAATTTTTCAGTTGCAGGGAAGTGCTGTGTGACAGATGACCCATCAGAAAGACGGAACTGAATTCTGGCTATATCACTGACAATGATGAAAAAAGAATTGATCAGATAAAGCAGCTGATTAATTAATGTTACAAAAGTTAAAAGTTATCTAAATGTTTTATTTTCAATACTTGATTTTTCTCTAGAAAAAAAGAGTCCACCTCATTTGATACTGGAGAGAGTTTGTTATGACTTGCTATACTTTTTCAAGAGGATTAGTCATGTCAGTCATGTCTGCATTGTGATCATCTTGTCAAAGGGAACTAAAGCTACATTTTTGAAAGCAATGATAATTCAAACTGTGACTAGGAACATGATATTTGAGAATGATAATTCAAACTGTCACTAGGGACATGATATTTGAGAAAAAAAAATCAACTTTGCCCACTATGACTGACCTCCTCCTAGCCAACTCTGCTGCCTCCGCTGCTTGCTGTTCAGCTAATCTTTTCTTTTTTAAAGCCTCTTCAGCTTTAGCTTGTGCATCTTTCTCTCTACCAAATCTGGCGGCTTTCTCTAATCTGGACATAGTGAAAATACTTTTTTAAAAAGAGTCTCATTTGAAACCTTTTCAGAAAATTTGAAATGGAATAAAAAACAAAAATCAAGTTATGTTTTTGTGTTTTTATGTTTTTAAGTTATGATCAGTGTTTTAAATATCATTGCTAATGTACTGATACAGTC